TGAGGAGCGCGCTGCTGCAACCTCGCAAAAGTATAAAGCCGGTACTTCCGTCAAAATTTTTACAGATCCCTCGTAGCCTAATATTGCGATTCTTACGTGGAAGCGCACCCGCGGTTCTTCCAGAAGGAGAGGAAAGGGGGAGGTGAAGTGAAACCTCCAAACATGAACAACTTCCTTGAAATTAATAGCTTTCAAAATTTTAGATAGATTTAGAATCTACAGGATTTCAACTTCAAAAACCCTCGGAAAATTTCTTCTCGAATTTTGCAAGTCTTCCCGTTATGAAATGGAAAATAGAAATTTCGGCACGATGCAACCCAATGCACACACCTTTCCTTCGAAAGTCACAGCTTCTTCAAATATTACCTGTTGCGAAGTTGTAAGTAGAAAGATTCAGAAAGACCAAATTATTTTCTCTCTTGTGGGTACTAAAAATTTCTAAAAATTCATTTTTTTTAAGAATTCGCCCGTTAACTTTTTTCCGTGCAAGTGCGAGTGTTTGAACTTGTGCTGATCATAGCACCTTTATTCTCGTTTCTGTTACAACTTTTTGAAATGGCAAGAAAGTACTAGATTTGATCTCTATCGCGTGTCAATGTGCGCATTGAAACAACAATACAATGCATGTCCACCATCCACTGGACATCGCGGTCTAATATTCGTGGTCCACACAACTACAACTCTCTAACCAACAGAAAAACTTCAAAAAAGGCAACTAAAACTCGCTGCGGTGCAACCACTTCGCTCCAAAGGCAGGCTCGACGCAGTTTGAATGCCTCCTAGAGTACGCTTAGTGGTGTACAGCCCAGTAAACTAAATCCTATTCAAGATTTGATACGGCATTTGTTTTTATGCGGTTCTATTCTAGGAACTTACAAGGGAGGTCTTTCAGGACATGGAGCGCTTTTTCGAAATGGTTTTCTGCATGTTGTAGGGGCTCATGCGAGGAACACAGAACCATGATCCATTTTTCCTGAACGCCCCAGGAATGTCAAAACAGTGGTGAAGAAATGGTCCAGAGTTCGATCCCCGGTGATGACTAATTTTTGCAATATAGTTTGGCGCCCCAGATTGCCGCCAAATGGCGCCATCGTCGAGAATATGTGTCCCAACATAAATTGCAACAATTTGTCATCATGGAGGATTGGACTTTGAGCCATCTCTTCTTCGCTGTTTTGACATTCCTGGGGCTGTTTAGGAAAATTGGACCACGTTCCTCGCATAAGCCTCTACAAAATTCAGAAAACTATTTGAAAAAACGGTCCATGTCCTGAAAGTGCCCTCTTGTTAAATGAAGTACTAGGTTTTGATGAGACAGCAGATGAGCAATTCGTACAACATTTTTTGACCGTGCGCCTCTGTGAAATTCCCGCATAGATCAAAAACTATTCTGTATTTACGCGCTCACTTAGAAAGAACGAAAGGTAAGAATAAAAGGGTCAACGCGCATGGTTTTACTGACTACCTTTGATTTTCTTGATTTTTCCTCAATGGTACTGCCGCGATAGCTAGAGCACAGACGATCAGAGAATGCCCTAGGACTTAGCCTTGAGAGGAGAGGGACCCGCTAGAGAGCGCAGAGAGCGGTAAAGGGACTGAGTTCAAGAGTCCGTCGACCGTTGCAGGAGGGCGCACTGCTGGTCCAAATTCCCAGAGAAGATGAAGAGCACCAGAAAGCTTCTAAGCGAAGGAGCTGCCAAGATGCGGCCACACAGCCATGCATAATGTTTGATGTTACAGTCGCAGATCCGTGAAGTTTGTAGGCGTGCTCACCGGGACTGACGGGTATCTTGATACAAGGTTTATTCGTTAGTAAGACTCTCGTCCTGGGCTGCCAGGCATGCTTTGCTGAAATCTTTTCGCTCGATTGGTAATATACTCACCGTTGCCCCGAAAGCACCTCATGTCCGCGTATGGCATGCTATCGAAGGACAAACTGCACGTTCCGGTTTGACACTCCCACTACCCCAACTTACGGATTCGTGAGTGTTAAGAGCACAATTCAGTTCCGGTCATCGTAGCTTTGTTAAGCCACCCCCTGACGTAGGCTAAAAATGTCCCAAGGAGAATTCAGCATCGTATCCGAAGCGGGGAGGGGCGAAAAGACCGACCGTTGCAAATCTCGGTCTGCGCACCGGTAAATGTATTACGAGCATCTCGCTCCGTAAGTTTACCTTATCCTACATAGAAAAAATTGGAATAGTGAGCCTTTTGAAATCAACGATACGTGTGCTTTCTAATGTAGGCAACAGCGTGGAGAGTTGCCGTTTCTAACTGTTTAGTTTATTGGCGGAGAAGGGGGAAGGCGGCAACGCAAACATAAGTCGTCTGACCGCCAATCTCCGGCCGCGACCCGAAACTAAAGAATTCGGTTCTCTGGCTGTTTTTGTTTGTTAAGTGTGTTTTTGGACCGCCAGTTGCGCCTGCCGTGCTGCTGCTAGCGCTATGTGCAAAGCCGTGAGCCGGGGATTGGTGACCAAGAGTATTACCCTGACTTGGGTTGTGTGGAGGAAAAACGTTTGGGTTCCTCGCCCGTAAGGCGGCGCATCGACTTGCATCCGCGGTTTAGAAAAGCCTGCAATGGACTTCAGTGTTCGACTATCTTTCTCACAGGGTCACATCGTGCGGACCCGGGCCCAGTGAGCCGTAAACCTGCACGTCAGGGCCTGCTCCCGTGCGATCCGCCCCCCCCCCTACTAAAGTTAGACACCGAATTTTCATGGCATCGTACCATTTGCAATGAAACAATCTCAGAAACAGATGGAACGGTCCCAAGGACCTTCCGGAGCCCCCCCCCAAATCCCGCCTGACGATACGTCGAATAAGAAAAGGTTGTGGATTTGCGAATAGATCTCGAAGTAAACAATCAAAAAACGTAGACATCATACAAACGCACGCACGCAAAGCCAAAATGCGCAGCGACGGCACGGCACCTCAAAATTTTTCGAAAGATTTGGCGCCGAGTGCGGTCGAGTGCGATGCGTTCCGCGCTGCGTGCAATCACGGTGGTCGGCGAGCAGGTCCATGGCTGCGCCACACTCCCATTGTTACTGTTATCAGCACTGATAGATTGCTTTGTAGTCATCTTTTCATGGATTATTATGGGTAATCCAAGTATAAGCTATCGCAAAGTCCACTGCAACCCACGCAAAAGCTGAAAAAACCAAGTGGCGAATGTTTCATTTGATTTGTCG